AGAGCTCCCTTCCAAGTGTCTGCCAACCGCTTTGCAATCTGCCTGTCTCTGATTCCGCTCATTATTTTCTGTGATGGTGCTGTGCGTGCTGGTGCCACACTCTGCTGAATAAATGTAGGGACAGATGGAGGTGACAGACTGGAGGAGAGGAGCAGGAGTTGACATTGAGCCGCGAGCTCTTCACAGGAATGGTCCGTATGCACGCTTCCTGGGGTGACGGGCTTGTGATTGGCATGTGGGATTGTCGCTCGGGCACACCTGTGGCATGAATAAGCTTTACAAGGTGAAGGCAAGCTGCTGCTTCTATGAAAGGCTTTTAAACACAATTGGACTTCAGATGAATGAGAAAATCCTGGGGTTGAAAAGGAATACTGTTTCAAATCCTTATATCGTGGTAGGTTTTCCTGATCTGGATTTTATTAAAAAAAAATTAAAAGAAACGACACGTTCTTTCTTTCTTTTTTTTTTAAGTGTATGAAAGCATGAGGCACGAGGTGGCCATTATGTAGCAGGCCAGGTTCGAATTGCTGATGGCATCGTGGACATTTAGCTGGCTGCTGATTGGTCTGCCTTTATTTCTCTTTGTCTTGTCTAATTTGTAATGCATTCATTCATCTACCCATTCGGCCCATCCGTCCGTCTTTGATCCCACCTGCTGATCTATCCGCCACCTCATCCACCGACGTTCAGCATGGAGGAGCATTGCAGTTACGATTAGTGCAGTTGGTTTGCCTTTCTCTCACTCGGACTTGGTTTCCTTTCGTTATACAATGCTTTGATCACTTAAAAGATCATATGAGTTTGAAAGTCTGAGATATTTTACGGTTTGTATTTTTGGCTGCTGATATCAGGAAAAGTTTAGTAAGATCAGTCAACAGACAGCTGTCACCGAACCTTCACGGGAATGAACATTGTTCGCTTTTGTGGCTGCATTATCATGTGAGAAACGGAGGCAGGGAATTAGCTCTTCTTAAAAACAGTCACTAGAGATCTAAGGACAGCAGATCCTTCCAGAGAAGTAAGAGGCCATTATGTGCCTGGAGATGGCTCCGTTGGCACAGTGCCAACTAAACACAAGCACCAAGTACCCATGTAAAAAACTGGGCAAGTGTAGAGACAGGCAGAGCTCAGGGGTCTGCCAGCCTAGCCTACTTGGTAAGTCTTAGTCCAGCGAGAGACCCTATCTCAAAAACAAGCCTGAAAGATCCTTAGGGATGCTATCTGAGGCACAGGCACACAGACACACAGGCACCCATACACACATGAACATAAGAACATGTGTACACACACACACACACACACACACACAGAGAGAGAGAGAGAGAGAGAGAGAGAGAGAGAGAGAGAGAGTCACCCTCACAACTGTCAGTAAACTGGCCCAAGCAGGGACTTTTGGGGGCTAGAGCATGGGTCCCCAAATGGTCACAGGAGAAACCGGGTAGGGGAAGCTAGGTTCAGTGGCACAGAAGGGCACCTTCTCCAGTCTTTATTTGTTCTAAAGGGAGGGTTTGTGCAGCGGCTTGAGCAGAGGAGTCCATGTGGGGAGGTGTGTGACCCCAAGCCTTTCTGACACTCTGTGAGCTCATAGGCCTCCATGTGGTACCCGGCCAACTCCACTCCCCTGATGCCTCCCTCAGAGAAGCCCCTGAGAGCTCCTCCTCCAAGGCTCTGCACTAAGGGACAGCACAGCCCTGCTCCTCCCTCCCTCCACCCGTCTGATAATCCTGCTCCTTTCTCTGGATTTGAAAAAGGAAACTCCTTCATCTTCCTCTCCTTTGCTGTTTCCTAGATTTTAACCCGTTTTTCTGTGATTTAAAAACTTCTTCAGTCCAATAAACGGATCAGTAGGTTTTTTTGTGTGCTTTGCTAGTGAAAAATATAACATCCTATTTAGATTAAAACAGTCTGATAGCCACACTTGAAAAGCACATCCTGGTAACTTGATGAATTCCTCCTTTTCCTCTTTATTCCTGGTATCCTGGGGTGGCCTACTGGTGGAAAAAAATACTATTTGATTCTCCCTGGGTGGTCAGGGAGGTCTTGTAAAGACTCTTGTTTGTTTTGTGTGAGCCTTCAAAGACATGCACGCTTTCCTCCATAAAGATGTACTAAGAAAATCGGGATTTTTTTTGAAGTCTCTATGTAGAAAGGGGGATTCAGAGCAACCATCTTCCTTTAGAACTGCAAGCTAATGTGATTAGAGGGGCTTCTTTGACCAGGAGCCTTTGTTGTTTCTGTCTGTGGTCATTACCACCAGGCTGATGGGGGAGGTTTATGATGACAAAAACCATCTTCACTTGCTTCCCCGCCCCCCAAATTCTTCACACACACGAACACTTTAATTCTAAATCTACATTTAATATGTCACCTGGGCTTTTGGGGAAAACAATTAAGAAATAAGGGTGGGGGAAATGTGTATGTACGTACACTTGTATTTGCATGTATGTGTGCTTGTGTGTGTGTGTGTGCACATGCATACATGGGTGCCCCTGCCCTTGAGTGCACATGCACATGCGCCTGAGGTGTGCTCCAGGGCAGCTCTTTTCAGGCCAAGTCTCCTGCATATCCCAATTAGTGAAGACCCCCTGCTGCGGGGAGGAGAAGAGTCTGGGTTTGCATTAGGGCCAGCGAAGTGTAGGATGCTTTTTCCTGCAGTCTCTGCAGAGCTGTCTCATTAGCACCCCGAGGTCAGTGGGAAGCTGCTGCCTTGTGCACAGTTGCTATTTTCTGCTGTGCATAGCGCTAGCGACCGTTTTATTTACCCAAGCTTCTTTTCTACATTTCAGAATATTAATTGTATGTACTTAATCGGGAAGGCTGATAATGCTGAATTGTTTTCAACCTGGAGGGAGCCCGAGCAGGTGTGTCCTGGATATGACTGCTGATCTATCAAACGATTTTTCCTGCTCCCTGATTCACGGGACACATATGCTTTGCCAATTATGGGCAGCCCAGTATGGAGAGAGTGACCTTGAGCCCTAGAGAGAGTTCTTGACTGTCTTTTTGCGGCGTGTCCACCTATTGATGATGCACCACTGCGCTGGCCCTGGTGGAAGGCTGTGCATTTCTAAGCCTTAGACAATTACTTCTCCTGCAAAACCAAAAAGAAGCCACTCCGAAATAGCCGAATCTGCCCTGAGTCGCCAAGAACTTGGCTCTTGGAACCAGCTTTTTAGAAAATAAGTACTTTCTGGTGTAGCTACTAGAAACGTAAGGGATAACAGAACTTCCAAGTTCCCTTTGGTGTCAAGAAAACTTGCTCATATGAACTGTGTGTGTGTTTAAAGGAGAATATTTGAGAAAGACAGATACAGCTTTTTGGAATTTTTTTTTTTTGAAACAGGATTCTATGTAGCCCAGGCTAGCTTAAAACTGTCTTAGTACCTAAGGATGACCTTGAATTCTAGATACCTGTTTCTCCCCTACTTCTCCAGTGCTGGGATTTTAAGAGTGTATAACCGAGCCTGGTTAAAAGTGTTGTTAGCAAATTTTGTTCTCTACTCTGTTGAGTAATTATTTTGTAATCAAACACATACTCATAAAATGGCCGAGTTTAAAAAGATAAGCCTGGCCATAGAAACAAACTTGACCTTTGATATAATCTTGCATTTCTTTTTAAGTCCTGGAGTCAGTGCTCATGGGGGTTTTGGTGAGACAGCAGCGATAGAACGACCCCAGGGTTTGGCATATGGTCCTGGCAGGACAGTCCCCTCTGAGGTCATCAGCCGGGGTGATCTGTGTCTGCCGTTTCTACTTTCGTGACAGGGATAGTTTCTTGCAAATCCTCAGCTGCGGTCTCTAGAGTCTCTGTTGCTGTCTGTGCTGAGTTGTGTAGGTCAGAGGTCAACATCGGATAGCATTTGTTTTGTTTTGTTCTGTTTTGGTTTTAGAGACAGGGTTTCTCTGTGTAACAGCTCTAGGTAACCTGGTGCTTGCTCTGTAGGCCAGGCTGGCCTTCAACTCACAGAGATCCACCTGCCTCTGCCTCCCGAGTGCTGGGAATAAAGGCGTGTGCCACCACTGTTGAATATCATTTCTTAACACAATCTCTCTCAGTTTTTGGAGACCAGTGTCTCTCATTCTGGAACTCACGCAGGAGTCTAAGCTAGTGGACCAAGAAGTTGAGGAATCTGCTTTCCCAGCACCAAGAATACAAGAGCATGCCACGGTGACCAGCTTTGAAGTAGGCGCCGGGAACGGAACACAGGTTCTCATGCTTGCTGAACCGTCTCCCCAGCCCTATTGACACTGGTCTTACTAAATAGTTTTAAAGGCTAAATGAAATAAGCAGTAAATCGCTAAGGTCAGGATTGGTGAGACAGCTCAAGGAGGAAGAACACTGCTCCCCTTCCAGAAGACCCTCGTTCAATTTCTAGCACCCACATGGCACCTCATAACTCTCTGTAACTTCAGTTTCAGGGGAGTGCAACTCCCTCTTTTGTTCTGGTCTCCGTGGCTGTCTGGCATGTAAAAGGTACACATACATAATGTAGGCAAAATGCCCATACTCATTTAAAAAATTATTGGGGTACATCACACACAGATGGGTACTGTGTGTAAATCCCCCCACTCCCCACCCCTCACCTCCCACCTCCAGCCGGGGCATCCCAGGACGAATGATTTCCCCAGTGTAGTCAAGTCCTCTTAGCTTTGAGAGTTACTCTGGAGAAATCTATTACCAGATCTTGAAGTCTAGGCTTGGGTTGGCTATATGTCCTGCAGGCCGTGCCTGAAGAGTAGTCAGACTGATGCTGAGCCCACCCTTGCTGAAGGCTTCAGGCATTGCCCCAGAACTGGGAGACAACCTGCTGCGAGGCTGTGGTGCGGCTCTAGGACAGTCAAGTGCAAGGCCAGAGTTAGGGAAGAATTAACTGACAATCTGTTTTCTACATGGTTCTCTGAGGACTTTTGTACACAACAGAAATATGTGTGAAACCCACCCTACTGGACTGTCAAGTTTACTATTTTAGTGTGTGACTCAGTTTCCCTTTCTCTCCTAGTACTCCCAGGTGGCTGCAGAAGCCTTCGCACCCAGCATGTTCAGGTAAGAGATTTTTTTTTCCTGGGTGGGGGGAATTTCTAGATGAAACATCTTTGGGATTCTGTGTGTGGGTCCAGCCTTGCTTTTGCCTGGGCTATCCCAAAGTCCCAGATGAGCCCTCTTCCTTCTCTTCCTCTTCTCTTCACAGTGATTTATTTTGAGTGTCTTTTTCTATTGCTTTTTTCTATCACAATAGCCTTACTTTTAGTTAGTCATATGTGTACCTTATGATGATATGAAACATGCATCATTTAATTAGCATCTATTAAACCCCAATTTTAGGCTGATGTTTACCTTGGAGGAAGCAGGCAACTCAGTTCGCTCCTTGCTAGTTCTAACTACAGCTCTCTGAATTTTTTTTTCTTCCTTGCGAGTCTCTTAAAGATGGGCATAGTTTTATTGTTTTTATCCCCTTTTTTTGGTTTTGTTTTGTTTCATAAACGTAAGTACCATTTCTTTCACCCTGTGTAGTAGCAGTCATAACTAAGTCCTATCCGGCATGTAGCCAGTGTAGCCAGAGAGTTAAATCCAAAACAGTTGGCCACGAAAAGACCAGCCGCCATCATATCACAGGTGAGCAGCGAGAAATACAAATGTTAATTAAGACTGAAGATAATTAGACCCCTCCCCTGACCAGTGAGCCCGTGATTCGAGCTGTGAGATGTTGTAACATGCCTTCCAGATGATTCTGAAGGTGGTGGAGTTAGGCAAACCACTGGTAATCAGATGTTAAATTTTAAGTTCTCTGTTCACCCTATTTTGCGTTTGCCCTTGTGTTTACCGTGAGAACACATCCTGAAGCACTTCAGATTCATAAGATCACAAATGTGTTTTTACTCTGCATCACCTGGATGGCTCCAGCCTTCCATTGCCTTCTGGCACCCATGCCATGACGGCGGCTGTCTCCAGTTGGAGGGATACAAGCTCAGGCTGTGTGTGTTATGAAGTGTATTTAGGAGCTGGGGTCAGAACTGGTGACCATGGAGACAAGCTTCAGTAAGGGCATATTTTCAGATTTTTGTTTCTCAGCTGCTGACTGGTCATCTGAATTACTTGCTTGACCCCATGAAATTTGCAATTTCGTTGGGATTGGCAGGACTCCGACTGCAGTCATGGTTTGGAACCTCTGGTGAAGGCTGCTTTGAGATTAGTCTGGGAAGTGATGAACCTCTGCAGGCCCTTGCAGGCCTTTACCTGTTAAATGAGTAAATGCTTTGAGAACTTCAGTTCCTAAGCTGTAAGGGACCTGAGCTAAGGGTGATTCTTGTGCTATCTCTGGGCTTGCTGTTTTGATTGGAGCTGGTGTTCACCCTTCCATGATATCCAGGCCAGTATGTGTCCAGGTAAGAAGATTTTTGAGCCTGGTTTCCTAGTTGTCTGTAGGCATCTTCAGTAGACTGTGCCTTTCTGCAGCATGCACATGGGATCCCCTTTCACTTCTGTCCTTCTCTGATTGTAAGTGGACACAACCCCAGGCCAGGGACTCTGAGAAACCCACACTGTGGAGCGTTTTCATTTTTCTAAGACTATCAAGGGGGCCCGAGCTTTCCTTGCAATCTCCAAAATTATGGAAAGGAGAAGTTGAGCTGTCTTTGTTGATGGAGTGCTGAAACAGTCCACAGAGAAGGACTGCGAAACAAGTCTTCTGAGATTCTTGGCAGGGTTTATCACCTGTCTCTCCCACCCCAAGCTTCTGGCAAGCGTGATTAGAAATTGACTCGAATCCTTTAAGATTGCTTGCTTGCTTGCTGCTGACTCTCGGCAGTTAATTCGCCGTCTCTCACACGTGTTATCCCCAAATCACAGAACTCATTAGAAATAAACAGCATGAATTTGGTCAGTCACATTTTCAGGATTAGCCAGATGTAAATCTGAGTTGCAGTTGGGAGGTTTCCTGCGTGTCATTTAAAAATAAATAGACCTCTAGCCTTGAGTAGAAACAGTTTTAAAAAAAATCCTAGAGGAAAAACATTTTATTTTTCCAGTTTAAAATAAAATGGGTTGGAGGTGTTTTTTTTTTGTTGTTGTTTTTGTTGTTGTTGTTGTTTTGATCATCAATGCTTAGTTTATGCCGTACCATTTCTGTCTCCCTGCTGATTGCGGATCGGGTAGAAATAAAGACCCGGGTTCATTTCTCAAGATGGGAAAGTTTAATCAGTTCAGAAAATCATTTGAAACTGATAGCGGAGGTCTGAAACCTGATTGGAGCCTCCCTGGTAGAGCAGGCCTGACATCTCCGCTGCTCCAGTAGGTTGAGACAAGAGGGTCTCAAGTTTAAGTTGTAAGCAGGCTGTAGAGTGAGTTAATTCAAGGCCAGCCTGGACAACTGAGCAAGACCCTATCTCAAATCAAAGGTTCAAAGAAGACTGGGGATGTGTAGCTCAATGGCTACACATGGCTACACAATAGCTAGCCCCAGCTTTGCAAAACATAACAAACAAAATCTACCTGTGTGGTCTTGGGCAGCTGTTTCCTTCTGGGGACATCTATGTATTTCCCAAGCCATTTTGTGAGAAATCCTAATTCTCTAAGAGGTTACCTAAATTGTATTGACCTTAACCATGCTTGGTTTTCTGGCTCTTCCAAAAAAACATTTCTCACTAAGAGAGGCAGAAAGAATGCTTTTTCCCTCCACGTGATTACAATATATGATTCATGTGATTAGAAAATTTCTGTTTTCTGTTGATACGCAGACTTGCTGCCAGCAGTACAGAATATCACATGCCACCTGTTTCTAATTCCAGCAAAACCTGTAATCAGAATGAGTGCAAAATACTGTATCGGCTGTGTTGGTTAGGAATCTAGAAAATAATTCAAATCTATGGAAACTTTCTATTTTTCCTGCGGATCATTATAAATCAGGTGTGCATGCAAATGCCAAGGGCTGGTGTGAGAGCTGGAAGGTGCCGTGGCCTGCTTGGGATCAGGTTGGCTTCTAGAATCTCCAAATTGGATAGTTACTATATACTTACACACACACACACACACACACACACACACACACACACACACACATTTTTAAACAAAAATGGTTATTTGTAGCCTGCCATAGGAAAAACCTCAGCTTAATCAAAGCCAGGCGTTACTGTTCTCTTAAGCGTCTTCTTTCCTGCAGCCATTCATCTCCCATTCCTCTTCTCACCGCGATGGGAATTTCAATGTGCCGTCCTTGGGTTTTGGAGAAGTAAAGATAATTTGCCTCATTAGCTTTTAGTGAAAATAACAGAAGAAATAACTGGCCAGCTCTGGCGGCAGTCCTGGTCCTCTGAATCCACTCCATGAAAGTGTGTGGTTGAAGGTGTGAGGGGTGCAAGCGTGATCGGGCACCTCACCGCTGCTTCCGGGGAGTCGGTGAAAAGGGACTATAAAATGCCAGGAAATGTGGCTGCAGGGAAGGACACAGAGAAGGAGAAATCGCTCTGTCCTTATTCCTGTCAAGTCTTGTCAGTAAAGCTTGAGAAGCAGACGCTGAAGTGGGAGAGCCAGACCGTCTGGGTCCCTATGATCTAATCAGTGCCTGCACTCGAGGCTAGCGACGCGAGATCTTAGTGGGATTAATCTTATTGAAATTTATTAGGCTTTGCCCTGACAGTGGAGATTATGGATGGCTCAAGTTCCCTTTGGAGACTGTGGCATGGGCTGGACCCTGGAATTTTTGGCAGCATGCTATTCTTACTGGTCTTCTTCTTAGCATTGCAGGTACCAAACAGAGCACAGGTTCTGAGGCCTGGCTCACATCTCAGCCCGCTGGGGAGTTTTTCCCATTAATTTTCGGTCGTTGGCGTGTGCACTGTTTTCTCCTGAGGTGAGAGAGCATGAAGCTTTCTCTTCTCTCTTCCCTCCTTTCCGACTTTCCATTTCCGTCTCCTTTTCTTCTTCCCTCTTTTTCACCCTGCATTTCTCCCTCCGCTCTTCCCTCTCTCCCTTCCATTCTTTTTAAAATGAGAATAGAGTAGACATTGGTTCCTGATTCCTTAGCATTTTTCTCTTTGCTCAGAATTATCTAGCTGAAGTTTTTTTTTAAGACTTTGCTTATTTATCCATTCATCACTTTGTGGGGAGGAGGCAGCACGCTTATGACATTGTGCACATGCGCGGGTCACATGACAACTACTGGGAGCCAGTTCTCTCCTTCCAGCATGTGGCTTCCTGGGATCGAACTCCAATCATCAGATTTGGCAGCAAGCTCCTTTACCTGCTGGGTTATCTTTCTGGCCTGCGAATGGTTTCTGTAGTTCAAGGTTACTGAGAGCTACTTTTTTCTCCTTGTTCTTTGTACAACTTGCAGGAGCTAACGCAGTAATTTTGTGGTTGTTATTTTGGTGTTTGAGACAACATGTCCATGACTTGAACTCCGGATTCTCCTTACTCCACCTCCCAAGTGTGGCTGAGATTCTGAGTGTGCAACACTAAGCTGGGGTGGTACATTTGTATTTCTTACATTGTAACAAGCCTAACATAAACTTCCTGCTGAGGGTTGTGCATTGCTGGCCTTAAGTTTGCTAACAACATTGTATAGCTGTGAGTACTACCCATCCCCAGAACAGCTTCATCATTCTAACCTAAAGACACATGTACCAAACATCAACTTTATTCCCGTCTCCCGCCAGCCCCTGACAACCCATTCTCCCTGCTGTCCTTGAGTTTGTCTGCTCACGTCAGTGGAGACATGCAGCATTTGTTCGTCTGTCGGTGATGTCCTACCTGGGGAAGCTGGTCTACCCGGAGATCCTCTTTCTAAAAGCTGAAAGATAATCCACGGTAAACATATAGCACATTCTGAGTTTCCACTCATCCATGCAGAGACACTGGTTCCTCCCACCTTTTAGTTCCGTGAATAACGCTGTAATGACATGTGCTCATTGCCCCTCCCGATTTTTGACCTGTTTATCTATAAAAACGTCTCTTTCCAATTATTTGGTACTCTCTGGATGAGAATGGCCTTCGTAGGTTCATATATTTGAGTACTTGGTTTCCAGTTGGTAGGACTATTTGGGAAAAATTA